AATGTACTCCCAAATACTGCACAGACCTAGCGTATTCTAAGAGAGATTGGCCCTTCACCTGCCCTAGGACTAAAAGTCAGCATGAAGAGTTGACCATTTTCTTGAGTCAAAATTCTACAGGTTATTCTAGGATCAAGAGCCTACCCAAAATCGCACTTAACATAACTTCATCTACATGTATACTTAGTGTAAGTTAAATATAGTTAATACGCTTACTCTGCCATCAAAGACTTAACTTGTTTCACCTACCATCACATTAAAAAATTACAATTTGCTAACATCTGGAAACCTTTGGAGCCTCAGGAGACACTGGGCTTCCGTTCTCCACCCCAGCTTAACTTATTCTAAAGAACATCCCCATTTGGTTGCCCCAGACATGCATCACACCAATAATTCTAGCTATACACTTGTATTCTGGATTTTTACTGGGACACATTTCCCTGTTTTATCCTTTTGAAAGAAATAGTACTTGTCTCCAATCATCACTTTTTTCCAACAGTTGAGTTACGTTGATATTTAGAAACTATTCTAGCAGTTTGGCACATAATAAAGTTGTTCTGCTCCTATCTGAGATTGTGTGGAGGGTCTGTATGAATAAAATGAATTGTCAAATGGTAGAGTAGCACATGATTTATATGTGGTTAGAAAAAAAAATGAGATGGCTGTTGGAAATGCTGGAGAACAGCTGCCAGCCACAGGAGATGTAGACAATGTGTCCCTTGGTTGGAATGTTCCCCCAGATGCTGAAAGACCTCCCTGAATGGTTTTTTCTTCTCTTTTTCATAAACGTTGGCCAACTTTCACCCATCGACCGATTAATCTTATCAAATAAAATGCCTTGACCCAATTATGCAAGACCTCTGTATTACATTTCCAGTACTGAAAAAAAAAAGATTAAAACAAAATTCTCTGCTTCTTTCTAGTTTTGCTGTATAAAATTAAATAGTTAATTTTAGGCAGTTAATAAGTTATTTTCTCTTAAGTTGGGATGCAACTCAATATCCTTTGATTTGAGAGTAAGCACCCTTGAACTAAGCCTTAGTTCTGAATAAATATTATAAAATTGCACTATGAATAGACTTTCTGAACATGGTGACGACTGGCTGGTGGAAGATTTCCATTATCCAATATAGTACAGTCTAATAGTTCAATATGTTATGAGCCATTTGATTGGGGTACACTTCACAGCCTCTGTCCAGGAAAAGCAATTTGTTTCCATGTTTTTGCACCTTTACGGTGGCAGTGACTTCTACCCACTTGTCTATGCTTTTTAGGTCGCAGGACATTCTCCTTTTCGCTTTGGAAATGGAGAAACGTTCTCCTTATTGAAATAAGACAACAATCTCGCGGCGGCTGCTCCTGCCGTTTTCTCACATTCCAGCTGGAGAAAGCGTGATACACATCCAGCATCAAATGGCATTAGGGTTTCTTAGCATACATGTACAAAGCTGGGAGGAGTCAAGGACAGCCTCTGAATACCGACAGCATTTTCTGGAGCAAGTGACACTTAACAGTTGGCAAAACGTTGCGATGTGCAGGGCGACGGGGAAAGGGAAAATAAAACGCTAGTAGAGAAAAAGCCAGGTTCTTATTATTAATACTTAGCAGCATTCATGGCACGGGACTGCTACAGCACACAGCAAACACTACACAGTTGGCCTTACTGAACAGCTGGACACTTGGGAAGTTCAAAATGCTGTGCCAAGAATAAAGACGCGTCTAAGGTCCTGAAGCTTCCCCACCACCTCCTTGGAGATGCTTCTTCACCTTAA